TTTTGTTTGTTTTTGTTAATTGGTTAGTTTTATTTTTCTTCTAGTTTTTTTTTAATGTTTTTTTCTGTGTTCACTGATTTGTTTTGAGGGTGTTTTTGATTTGTTTGTTCATCAATGCATTCTATCTTTTAGTTGTTTTGAAAGTGTGTTTATTTCATAAGTTATGTTATTTTTCTTTTATTTGAACTTTTGTTTGTTCTTTGTTTCTTTCATTCATTCACTCATAATTTTTCTTTTTATTTCTGTATAATCTGTCTGCAGGTCCCAGTGGAGTATAAGAGTGAATGCTAGACGCCTGCTCTTCTCTCTCTGTGTTCAGACGCTGTCTTATCTCTCATGGGCTCTTCTCTTCATTGTCTGTGCACTGACAGTATAATTCAAGCTCACTCTGGAAACAAAAGCATGTAATGAATGCACACCATCCAGTCAGCTTGTGAAATGAATTAATTTCTCCTGAGCACAATGGACCAGGTTGAGCTCGATGCACCTTTTATAAAGTCATGCATTTTTCCTCTGTCACTGTGTGAAAGAAATGTACAGTGTACTGAAGGCTTGTGAAAATGAACCAGCTGTTTGTAACACAATTTTAGACCTTCAAACAAACTGCTACATGTTACAAATCTTCACAGTGACTTTGGGGCCAGAGAATTGGAGCTGTTTAACTTTTCAGACTCACATCTTGTGGATCCTTGAACCTACATGTAGACTCAGTGTGGCCGAGAAATGTGGTGTTAAGCCACCTGTAGCGCAGGTACAGTACTTCTTCTGACTTGGCATACTGACGCTTCATGGTCAACATCAATATAATCAAGAATTTCATTTTAAGGTGAAAGATTTTTGCATGCAGATTTTGCAATGGGTTCAAGTTGGTAACTCAAATTCACCTTGTTGAGTGCAGAACAGAAAGCTGCTTAGTTTAAAAGTGACTTTTGTCTGAACTCTGCTTCACACGTCACTATTGACAAAGGACAATCAAACTTTTTTCCAAAAGAATTTTGACCAAAATTTTGCTAATTTGATCACACCTTTAGGGTGTTTTCAGACCTGTAGATCATTAAAAAAAAAAGTTGCATTTTCTACTTGTTTGGTTCAGTTCACTTTTACAAGCTAACAATTTAAAGTATACCAAAAATGTGTTTATGCAAGTCAATAATGTGCTCACACTGCTGCTTTTTATGTAACCCATTTCTTACTTTGAATTATGATACAACTTGGATCGTTGGTCCATTGGGTTGGATTACTTTCTCATCACAGTCGAATTGTAAGAGTTTGTTTTCAGTCAGTTTCAGTTATTTAGGAGATCTTGGACTGATTATTTTGGTGCGGATTCAGGTGCAATTGCTGTGTTCATGCATGCTGAAACAAACCGAGCATGCCAGGTTCAGAAACAAATGCTCCAAACGAGCCAGGTGTGAAAACTGACACGAATAATATCAACATGTCCAGCAATTCGTCTCTGGTGAAACTGATTGCAGGGATATAACTAAAGACAGGACAAACTAACAAAAACATAAAAACAACTGCGGAGCACGCCACGGAGGCAGCCATCAGCGTCAGCGCCATCTCTAATATTCATGCAACTTATTGAGGAAAGGTGTGTTTATTTTCGTGAGTTATTTCCTTTTTTCTTTAGTTATCTATTTTGTTTTTATAGATGTTTAAATGATTAGTCTCTTGTTCATTCTTGTTTGTTCATTTACCTCTGTTTTGTTTTGTTTTGATTTGCTTTTCTTTATTTTGCTTTCTTTGCTTTGTTTTGTTTTGGTTTGCTTTTCTTTATTTTGCTTTCATTGCATTGTTTTGTTTTGGCTTTGTTTTATTTTATTTTATTTATTTTTTATTTTTTTGCTTTGCTTTGCTTTACTTTATTTTGCTTTCTTTGCTTGTTTTTTTTCTCACTTTCTTTGCTTTGTTTTGTTTTGCTTTCTTTGTTTTGTTAAAGCTAGGGATGCACCGATACCACTTTTTCCAGTACTCGCCCGATACCGATACTTTTATTTTTGGTACTTGCCGATACCGAGTACCGATACCAATATTTTATTGCATTTGTAAATTTTTTAAATATTGGGTACAGAAACCAAAAGAGTACCAACAAAGTGGTTGCAGAGCAACACACAAACGTAAACAAAGGTGTATGTTTGTAGAGTAATTTACAACAGCTTCGAACTTGGTTCAACCAATCAGAATCAAGGACCGGAACTATCTGTTTTATAATTGATTTTTTATCAATTCCAAACCTTATTAAACTTCCACTCTTGCTTTGTCATGGCATTTTTCTGACAAACAAGCAGAACTCACATTTCTTAAGAAAATGTTAAAAGTTTTTTAAAATTGTCTGAATCGTCAGTTATTAGTTTGGTTGTGTTTGCTGTTTGGTTATGACAAGGCTGATAGATAACAGAATTTGATCATTTGTGGACGTTGTCTATCAGTTTCACTTTTGCTTGATTGATTGATTGATTGATGGATATAATCTGGAACCTTTTCTCTTCCATTTGATTTATCACTACACATTGCACTTTATAAAACTGCACAGTGTTGTAATTTCCCCAAGCATTAGTACAGTCTCTAATTATTATATATCTGAGCTACTCTAAAAAACCCGCCCAGCAAAATAAGGCTGTAAATGATGAGGCTCCGTGTCTTTACCGACAGCTCTGGAAACTCCTTCAAGTGCTTGACATGTTATTTCTCGGTTGCCACGGAACAACCGACAAAACTGTTATCTGTCAAAGGCGAGAATTGGAGTAAAACTCAGAAAGATGTCTTTTTCATGTTTCTATCCATAATGCATATCAGTTCCGGCCGCCGGGCCTCTCTAGGGGAACGAGAGCGAGCTGATGAGAGGCTCTTCATTGTGTCAGTCTGAAAGACTGTGGTCCTTTTGCGTACTTGTTGACGGTGTGACAGGAACTAAATGACTGGGTGAAAATCACACGCGTGAACGCTGCGTTAGCGTCCGCGGATGACGCCGCCAATCTGTCAAAGGCGAGAATTGGAGTAAAACTCAGAAAGATGTCTTTTTCATGTTTCTATCCATAATGCATATCAGTTCCGGCCGCCGGGCCTCTCTAGGGGAACGAGAGCGAGCTGATGAGAGGCTCTTCATTGTGTCAGTCTGAAAGACTGCGGTCCTTTTGCGTACTTGTTGACGGTGTGACAGGAACTAAATGACTGGGTGAAAATCACACGCGTGAACGCTCCGTTAGCGTCCGCGGATGACGCCGCCACATGTGTTCTTTTCCGCCGCCTTCACCTGGATGTTGGTTCTCAACCTGAGAGCTGCTATTTTCTGCTGAGAGACACCTGTGTTGCCATAGCAACCACTCAGGCACGGGTTGATGGTGTGTGTGTGTGTGAGTGTGTGAGGTGTATTATGAAAGGAAGGGGAGATAGGGGCCTCACCTGAATGCTTGGCTGAATCTCTATAACTCGTCTCCAGCCTCTTTGCTCTCGGCAGCTGGACTAAAGCCAAGCACCTGGCATTTTTCAGCTGTGTGTGTGTGTGTGCTGAACCTTTCTTAAAACACTTTACCTTTGCTTTGTATAAAAGTGTTATACAGAGTGGATTTGTCTCCAATTAATCACCCTTTAATGACTTCCCTGCTGGAAAAAAGCTGATTTTGGAACACAGTAGCTGGATTTTTGCTGGTCAGCTGTGACCAAGATGATCTACTAGGCTGAAACTTGGTCTACTTGACCAGCTAGAAATGACGTCAGGGTCCAGATATGATGTGTAGTGATATGGAAATGTATTTCTGGATTTTACGCCATCAGGTGCTATATATGATGGGTTTGACTCTGCGCTGTGATTCGATTGTCCCTGTGTACAACAGGACAGCGCCCACTCAACGGGTGCTAACACAGATCTCCATAGTAACCATTGTAAACATCCTGTTTAATGAGTCATGTGATCCCGCTGTGTTAATCTCTCCCCACCTCTCAAAGCTCTAGAATTCAACCGTGTTTATTGTGTTCATATTATTATATTCATTTTGTTATTCTTGAATGTCATTTTATTAATGAGTCAGCTTTGAGTTAATTATGTTTTTAATGAATATTTGTAGTCCCCTGGCAGTAAATATGCTGAAATGATGGATTAAAATTTATCATATTCAGCTACTGTGAGCATCCTTCCTTTATAAAGTGACAAAACTATTTTTTTTAAGAATTTTGTTTTTATTTGATGCCTTTTGTTACATTTTTAGCTTTATGCACTTTTGTTTTTTATTAAAGCTGAGGTATGTCATTTTATACACCACTTGTGTCACAAAATGGATCTGCAAAATGATTGTTTTCAAACAGGTATCCTCCAAACACTGTCCAATAGATGCTTGTTTCCACCACAGGCGAAAAAATAATGAATGAATGAACCAATTCAGAATGAATGAATCCATTCTGTCTTTTTTTCTTGCAATTCTGAGTTTATATCTCACAATTCAGTCTTTTTCTGGCAATTTTGAGCGAAAAAAAGTCATTGTGAGCTGTAAAGTCAGAATTAAACTGACTTTTTAAAGTCAGAATTAAAATTAAATTAAGCCAGATAGAAACTCTTCTAGCAATTGCGAGAAGAAAAGTAGGGGTTGTGAGCTACAAACTTGCAATTGAGGAAAAAAAATATTCCATGACAGAAACAAAACACACGTTTGTTTCACAATTCTGATTTTTATTTTTTTTCCTCAGAATTGCAAGAATAAAGTTTGAATTGTGAGAGAAACCATGATGGAAACAAGCTTCCATACTTTCCCAGCCTGTCATTGGTCAAACAGACAGAAAGCCCCACCCCAAACTCATGCCATTGGTTAAATTGTTGCTATGCTGGGCTGATTGAGATGCTTTGGACACAGTCAGTGTTCATATACTTTGGTGGAATGAGTGGCTTATTTTTAGATGTATATTAAATTGTGAAAAAAAAAAAAATTTAATATTGAAAAAAATAATGCATACACTTTCTATGTTTAACTCATCAATATCATTTGACCTATTCTTTATCACTTTAGAAAGAACAAGATGACTTAATTTTGACCCCGGATGGAACGCGGGAGTTTATGACGTTTGAAATCCCTCTCAGTGACTCGGGATCGGCCGGGTTAGGGGTCAGCGTCAAGGGCAATAGATCTAAAGAGAGCCACGCTGACCTGGGCATTTTCGTCAAGTCTATAATCACTGGAGGAGCCGCCTGCAAGGTGAGGAGCAGCTCTCTGATTGGCTACGGGACTCATCTCTCATACTTTATTTTTTAATGTTCATATATTCCAAAGTACCAAACCATATATATACCAAACTTTTAATATGTTCTTGTGTGTGCGATCACAGGATGGGCGGCTGAGGATAAATGACCAGCTGATAGCGGTTAATGGAGAGTCTCTACTGGAGAAAACCAATCAGGAAGCAATGGAGGCCCTCCGCAAATCCATGTCCATCGAGGGCAACAAGAGAGGCATGATTCAGCTGATCGTGGCCCGGCGGGTCGCAGGGAGGGCAGAGGTCAGTCATCCACTGGCTGCAACACACAGTAACCACAGATCTGTGTTTACGTTCTATTATTTGGCTCTGAACTGTGGTTTGAATTCCCAGCATGCCCTTGTGAAAAAGAAGTGTGCTAAATTGTATTGAATGTGCTCTTGTAGTGTTCTTCAAATTTTAAAAGAAAATTTCTAATAACTGTACTTATTACAGATAATATAATATTAATGAAACAAAAGGGCACTGGAGTGTACTTAAAGAGCAGGTCATATGGTAGTTTAAAGTGTCCTAATATTGTGTTGGAGTCCCCTACAACAGGTTTAAATGCATCTAAGGTCAGAAAACATTGTATTTTCTCAGAATATACATTTAATATTAGAGTCAGAGTCAGTAAAGAATTTCTTTTTCACAAGGGTGTACTAGTTTTGTGTGTCTGTCTGCTGAAGGAAATTTCTGCAATCACATGCTACAGTGAGAAATGCTTTTTCCTATAAAATTTGCAGAATAATTTCATCAAATTAGCCCAAATTAAGCATTAACCTCACTAATTGTTATCAGACTTATTCAGAATGACAAATCGTGAAACTTGATCTTGTTATTCTACAATCATTCAAACATCAGGAATGTAGGAAGACAAGAATCTTGAGTTTAGGCCCAATTATTCCAAAGTTTTGTCTCCAAACTGCTTGTGTTTTAAGGGTATTGTAGCAATGATACCGAGAAGTTTTAATTTCAATACAATTCAGTCTTCCTGATTTTGCATCCTCTCGAATGAACGTATTCGTTGCATGTGAATGGCTTGGTGTATTAAAAAATGTTGTATTAATATTTACCCAGCATGGCCTGAAGATAATCTGACCCAAATTTGGGGATGAAAGCCGAAGGATGCTAGGAAATGTAGCGTGGCATAAATTGAAAGATTGAACTCTGCATGACCTAAAGAACCAGAACCGTTGGTTTTACGGATATGAGAGTGTTGATGGCGATTTGAGAGAGTTGCACTAAAATGGCATCTAGATACAGTACCAACTTTTCCCATACGGATCTAGAGGCTGCCATAGACTTTAATGCAATACACTAACAGACAATAGTTCAATGCAGGTCCTTAAATTCTGATGAAAATGACTTTCATACTGCATAAAGATGAACTGAGTGACTGACAGACCGACCGACCGGGTTCAGTAGTGTCTGTGGACGGGGAAGTTTGACTGCAGAAAAAGTGAATTAAAGTGAGTAGTTCTTATCAGACAGACACAGGAGACGGAGAGAGAGAGAGAGAAAGTGATACGGGGGTGTGAGCGGCGGATTGCGATCGAAAGCAATTTGACCCCTGAAATGCTCATGCTGATTTATACTGATAACAGATGGCAGTATGAAATATCAAATATCAACTTCAAATGCCATCTTTTTCATCCCCCCTCTTTCCCCAATGCAATCCTTTGGATGTGTGTTTGTGTTTCACTCTTCTTTTTTTTTTTGCCCGCACAGAGTCATAACATCTGAAAGTGTAATCTAACACTTATCTTTCTAAAGAATATACAACAGATGCTGCTTTAGGAGGAGATGAAATTCAGAATGATGACTGCTTATGGATATGAGACGACTGGCGATCTTTGGCTGCGCTCTCACGCTTCGAGTGGAGAGCATGTTTCCCAGAGGAGCGTGTCGATGCTCAGAGCTTGCTCTTTCAGAGCTCAAGGGACTTAATAGAGTCTCCATTATGGTTCTTTTAGATATCAGCTGTGTCTCGGATGCTTGTTTCTTAAAATTTATGGGGAGAAATAAAAATAGACAGTAACAAGGCAATGGCTTTCAGTAAGAGTACAGCGCGCTATAAAAGGAAAGTGGATCCTATAGCTCAGATCATTTGCTCTATTTGATGAGAAATGTTTGAATTTATGATGAAGCAGCACAATTTTACACATTTGATGAGATTTGTGCTGAAACACGTTTTTTTTTAAGGAGAAAAATCCAGAAACTCACTAATTGCTTTATCCATTAGATTTTTTCAACCACATCTTCTGCTCACCAAATCGGCATTTATGTAATCAAAAATACAGTAAAAACTGTAATATTGTGAAATATTATTACAATTTAAATGAACTGTTTACTATTTGAATTCATTGTAAAATGTAATTTATTTCTATGATCAAAGCTGAATTAGGAATTAGGAATTAATATATCCTTGCCGAATAAAAATAAGAATTTCTGTTAAATAAAATAAAATAAGCTAAAAATAAATAATAAATAAGCAAACAAACAAACAAAGTTACTGACCTCAGACTTCTGAATGGTAGTGTATACTTATGTATGTGGAAGTAGCAATAATAATTAAAATATTTTATTCATGTCAAACATACATTGTGTAGGTTAAAAATAAAAACACAAAAAAACATTTATTGTGTATTATTTTCAGCTTACGGCCACTCACTTCAGGAGAATTGGGTGAATTCACTGTTAAATCCGACTAGTAAATTGTAACTAGTAAAAAGTGTCCTGTGTAAAAGCTTGATGCGATATAGGAATGTGAAACATTCTAAAATAAGTCACATAAAAAATTACACGGGGTTAGAAAACACGTCTTGTGCTTTTAAAACACATGAAAAGTCATCTTACACATTGCTATTCATCAAAGGCTTCACTCATATGTAGGCAGCCTTGTTTGTTGGTGAATCTGACTGCACCGCTCGTGCTGTATTTGTATTTGCGTGCATCCAGTGAAGACAACACAACAGAGAGAAGAAATACGTCTCTGTAGTACCTTTTGTACACAGTCTGTCTCTTCTTGCAAACTCACAACCTGACTAAAATATAATGTCTTTTGTAATCATTCACGGATGACACACACCAAGAGCCCACTGCTGCGCTCAGATCAGCCTTTATTAGCGGCTGTGTGGAGCTGATTGGACCCGTTTGAAAGCAGCAGACCTCACGCTGACTTCTGTCCCCTCACACACGTCCCATCCATCCTCTCTTGCTCGTCCCAACCAAGGTCACCTGTTGCCTTCAGGAGCGCCCGGGCTCAAGGTCACTCTTATCTGTCTGTCAAACGAGGATGAGGACGGTTTCTTTCACTTTGAAGTGCAGCCGAGCTCCCGCTGTATACCAACATACACCAATAGTTGCGCATTGATATGGCATTCAGAGAGAGGGAAAGCTGAAATAAGAAAAAAGAGAGATGGCAAGAGTAGTGAAAGTGGAAAGAAGAGGAAAATGATGGGTAGCGAGAGATTGCAGGGGCCACTGAAGGAATCAGAGATTCTCTCTGACAGCCGGCGCTTTGCTACTGTCATACAGCAAATGCTGGAAAACAGAGGCCAGCATTAAAATGAATAAGATCCATCACTGTCCGCTGCCCTGTATGTGTGTGTGTGTGTGTGTACTCGATTATGTTTGGGTGAAGCACATTCTGTCTCTAGTCCTGTCCTGAATGTGAATCGATGTCCTACACTGTCAATCAAAAGCTCTGTCGTTCCAAAATACAGCAAGTTCATTCGCTCATTAGTAATAGCAGGTGTTCATATGTAAAGTGTGGTTCTACTGCAAATACATTTTTTATACATTTTATACATCTGAAATGTACACACACACATTGGGCCTCATTCATGAAACATTCGTAAATATAGGAGTAAATTCTGAGTAATTTGCGCGTAAAATGGACCTTCCCGAAAACTCTCCTCCAGATTCACAAACGCTTTGTAAACTTCCGATTTGATAGTTAAACATGCGTATGTTAATTAATTCCAATCATTCGTAAATATGGCGCTTGTTCATGCTCATTCACAATTAGCATAATCCGCGCCTATGAATTACAGCTACGCAAATCGCGTGTCCAGGAACGCAGTGGAATATTCTGGACTATATTGCATAAATGCAAAAAAAAGAGTAATAGACCATATGGCTAACAATAAATATTCAATAACGTGTGTCCACCAAAGAGTTTTTAGCCAACATTTTTGTCAGGCGCTCTTCTGAAAACGGCCAGCTGGTGGCGCTTGAGAAGACTTTGGTGGCACAGCGTTAGTTTGTTTGTTTGCTGAGATGCTTTGGTTGCTATGATTAGGAATATCCACGGCAGTAACGTATTAATAATATCTCATTTTGAAGAATATTACTGAATATAAAAATGTAGTAACCAGCAATATTAACTTCTCTATTGTTGTTCAGTTGTTGTACATGTAGGATGATTGGTCGGTGTAGTATTTGTCCCGCCCCTCCTCCATTGATTGGACGGCTGGGTAAAAAGTGACAGGGACAAGCGCTGCGTTTTACCCAAAGCTAAACAGTTTATCAACCCTCAGCTACCAAAAAAAAACAAAACGGAGCAAACTAACTTATTATACGAAAATATTATAATGGCAGTGCATCAAAATTCAGTGTCATCAGTTTGCCAAAAATAACACAGAACGTTTTACGCACCATTTACACGTGGTAGGGAGCAGGTGTACATTTCTTTCGTACCAACTAACATTTTGAAAATACGAACATTTTCATGAATTCAAAAGTTTACGTCAGAACGGCTTTACGAACGATTTACACAAAAATTTGTTCTGCTCGTGTTTCATGAATGAGACCCACTGAAGGAAGTGCAATATTAGAAGCGCATGTTTTATGAATCATTTTATGTTCGTACAATATTGAATTTTACTGGATTAATAGGTTGATTTTATTGTATTTAATAAGAAGTTAATTTTTAAAAATGCTCAATGTCATTACATTTAACTTTTTTTATTCTGTTTTGTGAAGTTTCTTTTACTATATTCAACTCGTTTTGAGTTCATTCGTTCGTTCATCCATTCTACCAATGTCTAAACTTTCAAATTTTAGAATCATGTAATTATTACTTAATCATGTTTATATAGACACGCTTTAAAACTTTAAAAAAAATCGTACAAATATACACACTTTTATATTTTTTCGAGTAGTGCTTTTATTGTTAACTAAAACAAAAACGTAAAAAAGATAGTGTTAAATAAAATAAAGCAGAAATTAAATAGTATAGATAAAACCTTAGAAAATTA